TAGATGTTTCAGCCAACTTTGTGGTCACTATCCCTTTTTCTGCTGGACTATATATCATGATTCTAACACTTGCATATCGTATGTCGATTGGATCCTTGTAATTTATCCTTTTCTCTGTTTAGTCTCTAATTTTAATTCTTCTCTTTGTCACTGTGTGATACATTGATAATGTGGTGTTCTATAATGTGAATTCGTTTGAGCGAAACTAGTTGACCTTGGACTGTCTGCAGGCAAAGATGGTGTGATTCTTGAGGACAGAGCTTTGATCCCATATTTTCTGGAATATTCTCATTGATTCTAAGGTACTTCTTACAGTTGACTCATTTTGTTCTACAGTATCTTTTGTGCTTAGAAACCACATTCCCCGTATAGCTGCCTAAAGGCACTTCTGAGGTAGCTTTAAGTTTTTGATGTCAACATTGGTGAATAAAACCACACATAGATTCCAATCACAAGCAATCGTCTTTTTGCTGTCTTTGAAGCGTTTGTCTCAAGGAAGCTTTAGACAGCCATATAATAGGCCTCAAGGATCAGTTTCATACCTTTAGATCACAGCGAGTCTCTTCTGGTCGCCATAGCTTTGGAGATGCCTGAGGATGATGTTATTTGATGGGTTGTGACTAACAGTACAATCCAGAATGCGCATTTCTTTCTATGTGAGATTCATCGAGCAGGTGCACACAATCTCCAGTAACAAAGTTCCCACTGGCACTGTAGCTCAGAATACATCGCTTCAAATGGCACTATTAGACAGTCGAGCCACAAGATCTACCTCCCATGAGGTTGAATGTTTAGGTTGAGGTAGATAATGTAAAATCCCAGGTGTGCATAAATCACTACAGTTATATCTTGCGGTATATAAATTATGGTTATTTACCTAGTAGCAAAATAACAAATAACAGAAACACCATACAAAGTCAGAAAAACAGGTAAAAAATCTATTCGAAAAGAAATTTCTCCTATAAACTAATTTCCTTCTCTTAAATTTATTTCCTTAATGAAGTTTGCCTAATTGCTAGGAATATTTTAAAAGATTCTTTGGTTATATCCTTCCTAGTAAGTAATCACAAAACGCATAAACAGCCCTTACCAGGCAAAAGGAAAATATTATAAGTAGCAAATGTTTATTTCAAGAGGTATACTTCCTTTTTAGTTTTAGATTTCCGTAATCTGCTCCAAAATCATTAGGATAATAACATCTTAGACATCTAGTGACACCCAGTTAGGATAAGATGAAATACTATAGATATAATTATGAATGTAGTCATCTGGATAGTTTGTTTTTTCAAGTTAAGATATACAAGGCGTAAATTTAACAGTATATCACAGGTTACTATAGAAAATTTTGTAAATATCTTTTCAAATATTTCTACATAAAAGTGTGTTATTTAATAATAAGTTTATAAAAGACTCATATTTTGCATTCTTCTTTGTGTTAAACATTTATAATTTCATTAAGATTCTAAAGTAGGACGATGTGTTTAGTATTCAGTGTCATTATATCGATCATGAGTGATATTTTTTGCTCCTAATCCTCCTTGTTTGTGTGTTTACTTTTCCTGACTGTTAACAACTTACAGGACATTTCGTAATTTGTATGGTTCTTCACATATTCAGAGAGAAGCGAGAGAAGGAGGCAGATGAAGAATATATTTGAAAAAAAAGAAGCTAATTTGTAAAAAGGCAATTAAATTCCTGTTTACTCTACTAATGAACCCCAAAAATTACAAAAGTATCTTGGATACGAAACGTAAACACAAAACTCCTAAACCTTTGCTGTCTTCTCGCAGTTTACAAAGTAATTTCACAGAAGAAGTAAAAACAAAAAAAACTTGATATTCAAAATATAAGAGTGAAAGGAAAAAAGGGTAAAGGAATTAAGATTTAGAAAATTAAACTTTATCGAAAATTGATGATTCAGCTCTTATAGTCATCTACATTATTATTATCAGAATAATCAACGGCATTTGTATTCAATAACAACATTATTAGTGATTAGTATTCATTCACACGAAGAATTCAATGAAGTAAAATTTTCCACTGAATAATAATACTAACGGATAATAATCATGACTCATTGACTGACTCCCCAGACATGCAGAATACATTTTTATTTGTGATTAAGGGTGAAACGAAAATTGAATGAATGCTCTTAGGAATTCTTCTCATCTTCTTCTCCTTATTTTTTTATTACATTCAAGTTAATTAAAAAAAAGTTTTTTTTTCTTGGCTGTTTTTATGAACAGGGCAATGAAATTTCATTATCTAATAATTAATGCGTGTAGACAAACAAACACCTACGCGTTTGTGTTTCTTTTCACTTTATTACTTCAAGCATACAACATTCGTTGTTTTTCTTCGTCGACTAAACCCTCCTACTCTTCTTCTTTTTCACCTCCTCCTCTCTCTCGCTGTTTAGGTTTCTTGTCTTCTTCAAATTTCTATAAGCCTTCTTCTATAGAAATAAAAAAAGTAATCCAAATATCGGTGAGAATGTGTTCATCAAAGTTTCACTTACTTATTTCAGATACCATATATATATTCAATTTGTGATTAAGACAAAGACAAAGAAGTAAAAGCTCTTCTTCTTTAATTTCCGATATTTTCTTGTTTACTTGTTCCGGAACTCACAAAATTCACATTTGATTCTATTCGGCCCTGCGGAAAAATTCATTAGCTATTGAGTAATATTTATCCTCCCATAGTTTTATTAGTTTTTGTCTTTTTTTCCTTTAATTGTATGTCAAGAAAATAGAATGTCTGGTTTATTTTTTGCTCTATACTTACTTAAGCTTAGTGACAAATACTTTAAATTAATTAACTCTCATATATATATATATATATATATATATATATATATATATATATATATATATATATATATATATATATTGTATTTATGACTTAGTGGTTTTCATCAATACGATGAAGAAGAGATAAAATAGTTTTGATACTTCATAATAATAAAAGTTATAATGATAAAATGTTTCTGACAGAACTGTCGCCAATAGTCACTAACACCTTTAAATGGCATTGTAGATTAACTAAGTGTATATTTCAGTCAGACTGACTAACTGATTCACCCATATAGAAAAGAGAGAAGAGTGGCACAGTGGTTAGGACTCTCGCCGACCATGCACATGGTCCAAGGTTCAATCCCCTGCCGACGCACACCTGATATCTATGGTCGGCCTGTAAAATTTGGGCTACCGATATCACATGCTGAAAATTCCATGACTGTACCAAAAATACAGTATGGAATCAAGCTGTAGTCAAAAATATAAAAAAATATTATGAAGTTTTGGTTTCACTCTGTTATTTGTGGTCGTTTTTAATTGGCTGAATGACTCCCCATGAGTCTTTCTTTTTCCTTCATATGATCTTCCCTATGTCACCCCCGTATGCTCAACTCGCCGTTTCACATGAGTGGCCTGGTGTGTAGTGTCACTCCATCGTTTCCATATCCGCTTCCATCTGCATATGTTCTTGATCAGTCTGCAGCCGTTCTGAGTTCTTTGTTATTTATGCTTCCTGGAAATCTAGTCTTCAGTATCAAGAGAAAGTGTTTGTTGGTGAAAGTCTGCTTCTTGTGAAGTGCCAAATCATCCCTGACATTTATTAAGTCAAATAAAAAAGTTGTGCAATTTCACAGATAATATGGAATTCAAAGTCTGCGATATTATTACTAGTAGTCGTAGTAACAGACTGCACAAGCGGTACTTTTCGTTTTAAGTGGTTTGTTATTTGCCTATTCAAACCAGTGAATCCTAAGATATATCAGTGTGAATAGGGAAATTTTTCTTCTCATATTTTGAACTTAGAAATGAAAATTACTTTGAAGGAGAATGTTTTGGGCTATGTACTATCCTATATCACCAAAATTTACTTGCCGATTGCCTCCAACCATCTAATATCATCAAATCAATGTGCACCGTAATGGACAGCTACCTAGAATGGTGACCATATTGCAAACCTCACTGATAAAATTCAGCCTGCACCAAAGAAAGGACTAGAAACGTCATACTAGTTACTAGTGTCCAATCAAAATACCCACTACAGTCCTACAGGAGGTCAATCGCGAGCCCGTCTCTGATTGCAGCACTGGGTGACGCGGGTTCGAATCTCAGAAGGGGCATAAGTTCCTTCAAGGTTGCAAATACGCCTTGCTAATGAGTGCCAACTGGCACGAAACCTAGATCCAAGGCTTCCTGCCGATTGCCTCCAACCGTCTAATATTCTTATTATATTATTATTGTATCCTTTAGTTCCTAGAGGAACATAGGGCTTCAGCTGCGCACCTCCATTGACTTCGGTTTTCTGACAACTTTTTCAACCTGCTCCAGGTCTGTCCACATGCTTTCATCTCCTCCTCGCATGACCTCCTCCAAGTCACCCTTGGACGACCAACTCGCCGCCTCCCTTTCGGGTCCCACTCGAGGGCTTGTCTAGTGATGTCACTTGATGGTTTCCTCAGCGTATGGCCAATCCATCTCCATTTCTTTCTGCCTATTTGTTTCACAATCGGTTCCTGATTGGTTCGCTCCCAGAGATCCCTGTTGCTGATCTTTTCTGGCCATCTGATCTTGAGTATTGAGCGGAGACAGTTGTTAATGAAGGTGATATTTTTTAGTGAAATAAATTAAGTTCTGGCTGGTCAGTATCAGAACAACACTCGATAATGTTGAAATTTTAGCCACTTCATAAGAAGCATAGTTTATTATCACTTGGTATGCAATAACTTAATGTGAATGAACCGTATTTCGACTACTTGATAACTTAAATGCTAATTTCATTATCGAAATGTTATTTGATCATTTTGAACATGTGAATTATTTATTTAGTTATGTTATTATATGATCTTTCGATAAAAGTTGGAAGTGGAATCCTTCTTAGTGACTATTACAGATAATGCACTATAATGCATCTATTTTTGATAGTTATATTACATCTGGAATAGACAAATCATACTAATTGCTTTGAATTATGTTTTGTACATTTAGGTCTTGATATGAAAAGTTGGTCAGTTTATTTCGATTACAAACGAAGTTGGTTTCTGCATAATGGTGAACATTTTGAACGTACAGATGGTGGAATAAACGCAGGAAGTGTAGTTGGAATTCGTTTGGATTGTAACAGGGGCAGTTTATCTTATTATTTAAATGATCAACCACATGGTCCAATAGCTTTTACGAATTTACCAGGTGGAATTTATTATCCAGCTGTTAGTTTATCAAGAGCAATTCAATTGACACTGCATTCTGGTTTGGAAGCTCCTAGTGAAAGTGAAGAAAGTGATGAAGACAGTTCTGGTGGTGGAACAGGAACTGAAACTACTTCTATGGCAACCACTGTTTTAACCTTACCCTCAACATTACAGAGTATGGGTTTAAGGCAATAAATATGTTACTATAGCAACAATAAGTAAGTTTCAATATTTCTTTATATTCACTTAATAATTGATAATATTATTATTTCTTATAGTACCACTGATTTAAATGAAAAACGGACATAATAATTACAACAACTACAATTACATTTGTACGTTTCAAAATAATTAGATGTTAAGTGGTTAGTTGGTTAGTTATAAGTCTCAACACTCAAAACATTTTGCTTGAATTTACTTCCAAAGAATGAGCTAAGGATGGCAGGTAGTGATTTGCAAAGCATGCAGTCAGAAGTAAAGTTGTACCACTATTCTGTTTGAAAATACCTACCTAATGAATGCTACTTGTTATATCGGTCTATATTTCTGTAGTTGTTTTACTCTGTCACTTGACGTCATTTATCCTTTGTATTGCTCCTCTCGTCCAAACTAAACTTATTATGGTATAATGATGAAATGGCCGTCCTGTGGCTAGAACACTTCAGTTAACCTAGCTAGTTGTTGATATAAGTAATCCTATGTAACTCATACTAATCAGTATAACATAAAGTTATACCAATGAGTTCATTTCTGCAGTAGCAAAAATGTTGTACACTAATGCCTTGTGTATAAATCTAAACTCTCAGTCAGTTACATATATATTTGAATGACTGTGAAGAATAGTTGGTGAGAAAGAGACTTTAAAAAAGTGGGATCCAAATTAACCAGGGCATTACCACCATATCAGCATATTAGACGAGAATTCATATGAAATCAAAATATAAGGTTTAAGAGATCGGAATCACTTTCAGGTGAACTATTGATAGAACAAAGAGTATGATGTATTTCTTATAACTTGCTCTATACAAAAGTAAATGCAGGAAGACTTAACATTTTTCAGGCTTTTTTACTGAGCTAAATTAAAGATCTCCATATCTTTGCTAAAGGTGTTACTTAGTATTTAGTGAGCGAACTGAGATGTGAAGATTTTTTTGACTACAGCTTGATTCCACACCATATTTCCGGCACAAGTATGGAATTTTCAGCATGTGATATCGGTAGCCCAAATCTTACAGGCCGACCATAGATGTCAGGTGAGCGTCGGTAGGGGATCGAACCTCGGACCATGTACATGGTCGGCGAGAGTCCTAACCACTGTGCCACCAACGAAGATACTATACATAAGGTAGAATTATGATAAAGGTTATTAGGCGAGGTAGCATCTTAGTAAAAGCTGCAATGTGCACTAGTATACGCGCAATAGAATATATCAACATTTATAATCAACATATCACATCAGGTTAGAAAAAAAGTAGTCTTTACTAGATGAACTCAGTCGGGAATCTCAAAGAAAGATAGATATATATACAATTGGTGGATGGTGGCTAGCAGTGGAATCCAGGATGCGCATTTCGTCCTAATTGGGACTCGTCATCTGGATGTACCTGCATTTCTCAGTGAGTGATGATGTTCCCACCGAGGCTCGAACCCATGCCCATAGTTTCATACGCCAAAACGTTATCCACTAGACCACAATTCAATAATTAATATGACCCGTTGCACAAGAGGTGACTCTCGTGGCCCAAGTGGTCTAGTGGATAACGCTTTGGCGTTTGAAGCTATGGGCACTGGGTTCGAGCCTCAGTGGGAACATCATCACTCACTGAGAAATGCAGGTACATCCAGCTGACGAGTCCCGAATAGGACGAAATGCGCGTTATCCTGGATTCCACTGCTAGCCACCATCCACCAATTGTATTCTAATTAAGTGCTCAGACATCGTCGAAGCATCTGCACAAGAAGCCGACATGTCAACCTGAGACCGAGCACTGTGGTCCAAACAATCGACGGGAAAATCAAAAATTCAATTCAATAAAGATAGATATAGTATGTAAATTATAATTAGCGAGTTACTAGAATTGTATGCGTAATTTTAAGTTAAACAGTAAGAAGCATAATGGCAACAAAGTAATCTATTATTTATTCTTTTTAATACTAAATACTGTACAATAGTCATTCTTAGATATTCTTTTCGACGCCAGGAAGATGTTGAAACCATTGTTCCTGTTGTTTATCACTATTGTTGTATGTAAGAATAAAGGTTTGCACCAGGGGTTTCACCCATTTCTGATACTATAGTTATTTGAAAGTCAGCATATCAATGTGTTTATTTATACAAGATGACCACAACATTAACCAAATAGACTAATTTAATATGGGTGTGCGTATAGACGGTCTAATGTCAAGGCAACAAGACAACTTAGTGTTTACTGAAACTTTACTTCACTGGTAAATGTTAACAAAAAATGTGGATGGTTATAAAATCTTGAAATTGATCACAATAATCTTCGCAGTATTTTACGATAAATATTAATTTCAGTTATGCAGTGATCTGTAAACTTTGAGTTAATCGTTTGAGAAATCGTTTGTAAAAGGCCTGTGAATAAAAATATTCTGTAATACTTAAGTGCTTGTATATTTTTTCTCTATTTCATTCATTGTTAACTGATAAATTCTATTAAATTTAACATTACACTATCAATAGAATGGACTCATATGTCTAACTATCTTATAGTAACTAATATTAGGCGTATCTCTACTTTCTCTCTCACTATCTCTCTCTGTAATCCTCCTTCCTCTTCCGAGCTGTTTTAAATGATGCTTTTAAAATACATTTTTTTTTCTCTCATTCTCTCTAAATCTGGGTGTGGCAGAATATAATCAGAAATTTTTCATTTATTCATTTGCGTTGTTTACGCATATAATCGTATATACCTATGTATGTTAGCGTGTACATATTGATTGTTCAAGTGGCATCAATTTCACAAACCAACCTTGTAAGAATATACTTCTTAATAGCTAGCGAGTAGATATTTAGTTGAGAGGGTTTTTAGAAATTTTCTCCAGTAATTCATTTCAAATCACATATCCACTTAATATTAAACAATAAATAGAAAGTCAGTGATTTAGGCTGTCATTAGAAATTACATAAATAGTTCAATATTTAACCCAATTATATTATACGAAAATGTTGATACTTAATAATCAGTGATTGATGAAAGCCTCAATTCTCTATGTATACTCACCTTTTTATTTGATCAAAAAGTGGTTAAAAACTAAAAAAAAGTAGATGTACATAACCTGCTGTCAAATTTCTCAATTCGAATGACAGATAGTCATTACCTGAACTAGCCTTTTGACTTGATAGGCAGTGAGTATTTATTAAAAATAGCATAAGAAAACGAAAAAATACCCTTAAATATCAATTTATTCTTATTGAATTACATATTAACACACTGTGAAGTGTGTTAAACTCTTTGTGTGAAAGAAGATTGTTCAGTATTGCAATATTATTAATAATACTACTGATAATAATAACAATTCTTTTCTACTATCCCCTGAAAATTTTGGCTTCAAAATTTAGATGCGACCATAACCCATGTGATTGTAGGTGGCTAGCAGCGAATTGTATGACGTACTATATATTATTATTATTCCCTTGCATTTCAAGTAAAACATATGGCTTCAACAATACATTTCCACTTTCTTCTATTTTCTGACATCCTCTTCAGCTGAGTCCACTACTGACCGAACTCTCTCATCTCTTCCTCACTCAGTCTCCTTCATGTCACCCTAGGATGACACACTCGTCGCTTTCCATCGCGATTCCACTCGAGACCCTGGTCTGCGATGTCATTCGATGCCCTCCTTAATGTATGCCTGATCCATCTCCACTTCATCCTACATATTTGTTGAGTGATCGGCTCTCGCCTGTTGGTTTGTTCGCAGCCAGCGTTCCTTGTTGCTTTTTTTTGGCCATTTGATTTTCAGTATGGAGCCACCCAGCGAATGTGGCAACTGTTGATAAAAGTCTACAACAGGCTGTTGGAAATCTTTTTTGTGACATGCAGTGCAAGTTTGTGACCCGTATAGAAGAACTGGCCGACTTTACATTGGTGTTGGAAATCCGAATCTTGTTCCTTATGCTGAGTGAGTAGAGATTTTCAAATGGGTTCAGGTTGATGAAGGAGTATCTTGCCTTTCTGATTCTGACTGGCTTTGATATTTTCATATGTTCCTACTGCCTGTAGTTGAAACGATGCTTCCTTGCCAAATAAGTGAAGGAAGTAACCTCATTTAAATCTCTTCCGCTGATGGCGATTGGTGCCGGTCGCTGTTATTCTTTTTATTGTTCGTTCTGTTTGGGGCTTGTACCTTCATCTGGTGTAGGTGTTGGTGATCTCACTGACAGCCAAATAATGTTATGTCAAGCTTAAGGTATTTTTGATGCGTTAGTACAGAAATTGACCACTCTCGTTCAGTAAATGTTATAGTCGTAATCTAAGGCAGGCAGTATGCGCCATACTTCGGTTTTTGTAATAACAAGGTATGTTCTGTACAGATGCATTGAAGTCAAAATAAACTCACTATTTTGGACAATTCTCTGTCTTATTCGCAACTTTCCTATAAGACGGTTTCCTCATTATTTATTTTATGACAGCTAATTTCAAGATAGGTCTTTCATCAACTGCAGTATTCAGTACTTGGAAGACATCTGTTCGTTTTTTTTTTCGACTACAGATAATTTGTGGTGTTGAAAACGTTTCCACGGTAAAAGATACTGAAATTAGCCGACTGGTTTTTGCTTGATATCAACTCACTATTCTATATGCTACTTGCTATATATTTTCGAAGATTTTAGTGGAAGTCATAACCCATTAGTATGAATCCTTACTGATGATGTTAAATAAAAGTTGTTCTTCATCGCGTACCAGTTAGGTTCTAAAGCAAAGACCATTTCATTTTAGTCTAAAACTTGAATGTTCACAGAAAGAATACAGATATTCTCTTCATCTTGTGCGTATTTCTGGATTATTACTATCATAATGAGAGTTCTAAGTTGATACAAAAAGCTCCTAAAAATTATCTGGCTTTCAGTGCTATCCAGGTTGGTGTAGAATTCTGATGATGACAAATATAACTTCATTTTTGTCCGTAACAAAATAGTTTTCAGTCGATATATTCTGAAATAGTTCGAACTAAAAGTCCCTCTGGTTGTTCTAACCTTATACAAGTTTATACAACTTTGAAGATAAATTTTGCTTTGAACTGTTGTCAGTCAGGGAGCATTCAAAATAGCAACGTAATAGATAGCTCTTTCAACCAAGTTGGAAGCACTGGAGAGAAAATTCACTACGATATTATATCAGCGTTTGGATACGGAAATAGAATCTTATGGCTGATGTTTTTTAATTTCCATCGATTCACAGATAGCTGAACTATCTGGTTTTTTAAAGAAACTGTACATGAATGAGGTGTTTACTTTATTTAGAATGACAAGCACATTTTATCATTGTATTAGTTCATTTGACATTTTATCCAGTGGAATGTATAAATAAAATTTCTCAATCACATTTCTGATCCTACCTGTGCGTTGGTTGTTCAAGGGTGAGATGCTTACCACCCACTCACGTGGTCTAGTGTTTGGTTCCTGATCGATTCACTCATAAACCTAGATTAACCAGCAGTAAGCCCAAAAATGAATGAAAGTTAGATGTTAGATGAGCAGAGGCAGCATGCAAAAACAACAACAATGTCACTAAAACTTCAACCCCTATGTCACACTCAGAACCTAAAGAAGTGAAAGAATGCTTTTTTTATTTATTATTAGAGTCTACTTTAAGGACAAAGATTATTCGCGAAAAATACAAATGAAGCGTGAATCTTTTATTAACATATTTCACTGAAAAACGATTGTGAGAGTGCAGTTTTCTGATGCCACAGAGATCATAGAGTTACTGTAACTGTATATTTTTTATCAGCGTAGATGTAATCTAACGCCGATATCAGGTAAATAACCATTGAAAACCATGCAACATTGGGCAATTACTTTGCCCTGTTTTGGGATTATCCAGTCACACACACTCACGAGTCTACTCGAGATTTCACATCGTAGTCCAGCAACGTGGATGGAACCAAGCGAACAGAAAATTTTACTTTCGTTCGCTCTATATCCTAGCATTCAAGGCGTAAGGTATTGTTGAGACTGCAATGCTCAAGTTTAAAGCCCATTGTTGCACTCGGGACAAAAAGGAATAAAAATGTTACCTGTACTAAATGAAGCATAGTTCTAAATTTGCTTTAAACGCTGCTATATTCATCCAGAAATGCTATCCAAGTTGAAGGTATTCAATGCAGAGCTCCAAGTAATATTGTAGTCATCGTTTCCATTTAGCAAATACTTTTATACAAACACATACAATCATACCTATAGTTAGTTATTTATTGTCTCCAACTCAAATATTTTGCATATTGTATAAATGAATTTTTATCATTATTTTTATTTTTTTCTGAAAACTTTGTTACAATTCACCCTGTGACTAACTTTTGTTTATATCGTTTATTTTATGCTTTTTACTGAAAAGAAATGTAACAAGCATTTTAAGTGTTTTCCAAGATTACATAATTCTTCAAGTGGGAGTTGAATTAGAAAGATTAATGTAACAAGTCCTACCATATATATATATATATATATATATATATATATATATATATATATATATATATATATGCGTATATACACCCATGTTAGGTGAAAGGTATTTCTACATAATATCCTTCCTCTTCAGTTCCATAGCTACCTACTACAGCAGTGCTGACAATTCTTCCTAACCTTAGAGACCACTTATATTATTTTCTATATGCATAAAACGCTAATTCTTCGACTTCTAATATAATTATTACATTCTCATTATCCATTTGGTACTAAATCTTATTATTATTATTATTATTATTATATCCTTTAATTCCTAGGGGAACAAGTAGCTTCAGCTGCGCGTCTCCATTGCCTTCGGTTTTCTGCCACATTTTTCACCCCGCTCAAAGTCTGCCCGCATGCTTTCTTCTTCTCTTCACATGACCTCCTCCGAATCACCCTTGCACTGACGACCAAATCGCCGCTTCCCTTTCGGGTTCTAATCGAGCAATGGCTTGTCTAGTGATGTCACTCACTTGATGCTTTCCTCAGAGTATGGCCAATTTATCTCCATTTCTTCCTGCCTATTTGTTTCATAATCGGTTCCTGGTTGGTTTGTTCGCTCCCAAAGATCCCTCTCCGTTGCTGATCTCTTCTGTTCGGCTATCTGATCTTGAGTATTGAGCGAAGACAATTATTAATGGAAGTCTGAAGTTTGTTTGAGATGCTCTTTATGACGCGTGAAGTCTCTGATCCGTATGGCGAGTAGCACTGACTGACTTCACATTGGAGTTGAAGATCCGGATCTTATTTTTGATGGTGAGTGCTGTTGATCTCCACACAGACTTGAGAGTAATGAAAGCTTGCCTTGCTTTTCCGATTCTGGCTTTGATATCCTCGTCAGTTCCGTCAGTCTGTAGTTGAAACGATGCTTCCCGGTAGATAGGTAGGTAAAGGAGGTTGTTTCTTTCAGGTTCCTCCCATTTATGCTGGCTGATTACTGTGTGTTTCTGTTGTTGTTGCTGTTGGTGTTGGCCAGGAATCTTTATCACCTCTGTTTTCTCCACGCTCACCTGAACTCATTCTTGTCTTTGATGCTTCTTCTTCCAACTTGTTGCTTTTCACTTACATATCTTCCAGTTTGTAGGAAATCAGACATATATCATCAACGAAGTCCAGATCCTCCAAGTGTTTTGTGTGAGTCCATTTTATGCCTGTTTCCTCATTTCCCGTTGTCTGTCGCATTATCCAATCTACTGCAATTAGGAAGATCATTGGCTATAGTAGGCAGTCTTGTCTCACTCCCGTCTTTACTTCGAAGGACTCCGTAAGTTTCCCGTTGTGGAGTACTTGGCATGCAGCATTGTCGTATAACTGTTGTATGAGATGTATGATTGTCGATGACACCCCGTAGTAGCGAAGTAGTTGCAAACGACCTCTTGATCGACGCTGTCGAAGGCCTTTCCAAAGTGGATAAAGTTAAGTGAGGTGGAGAGGTGACTGCCATTCCAAGTTTTGTTCAATGATGATTCGTAGTGTGGCGATTTGATCAATACATGACTTGTTTCTCCTGAATCCAGCTTGTTCCGGTCGAAGAAATGTAGAAATATGAAATTAAAATTAAGTTTTCTAAGAGTTATTAATTAATGTAAATTTAGAGTAAATCTGTTCTACGAACGATTAATTCCGTTTTTTTATTATTTTTAGATGATTTTTTCAACAAATTCACTTGGTAATATTCAGTCGACAGTCAACAAATAACGCCCGTGCTCACAACACTCTCTATTGGATGGAATACAAACAACAAAAGTCAAGCTCATTTTATCAAGTGAATATAACTTCAAGAAAAGCAGCTCACAAAGAGTAAAATCCTCTTTCTCTGACATTTTGATATATACATTTTTATGTGATGCAAATTACACATTCAATAAGATATTTGTACAAAAAAAACACAAAACAACAACAATAAACAAAATATTGATGAATTTATTTCTAGACAATCACTTGTCTTCTTTGGTCTACAACATTTAAACTATTCTATATTTGTTCCTTCTTTTGTTTTGCATATTCCCACTAATGTTTTTGTATACATTGACAGCAGTTACACAGAAGATTCATTCATATTTGTGGTAAGACTGGTACTCACACTGAAATTAATTGCTAGAATTAAAAGGATAAGCGAATTAATGGGTTGAGTTATAATACTCTACTGACAATGAACTCTGAAACTTGTTCACTTATCAATTTTTGTTTCTGAATACCTGAATAAAGTTCAAAATTAGCAAATGAGAAAGAAAAAAGAAAGTTATGCATCATAATTAGTTTGTTTGATTTGCAATTTGTTGGATGTTTTAGAAAACAGCAACAATAAAGAAAGAATTCTAACAAATAGATTATTTACTATTACTATTATTAATATTATGCGAGATATCAAAGCGAAAGAAAAGCTTTGTTTAAAAATTCTTGTTCATAAAAATTGTCTATATTTGAATTTCATTTATTTTTTTCAATATATAAAAAAACATGACTATAGGGGATAAACTGATCTATGTTCTCTTAAAACAAACTTACACCATCCATTGTTTTGTCTGATGTTTTTTCTTTTATATTCGCATGTTAATTATTTGTAAAAGCATTTCCTGCAAAACTCTAGTCAGTGTTATATCAGCTTTGTTGTGTTCCAGTTTTTTCGTTTTATACTTTGACTACGTCACTAAATATATATGTATATATCAGTGTATAACTGATATATATAACTTTTTGAATAAGCCTCCACAGGTATCATTTGTATTCATAAAAAAAGTTAAGCATTTAAATCTGTTTCCTTGTTGTTTGAGGCCATTTTAAATTGTCATTTCCTTTCAGTGTGTGTGTATACATTTCTATGTATGTGTATATGTGCGTGTGTGTGTGTGTGTGCTCATTTGTAAAAATAATTATAGAATGTAACAATCAGTAAGATTCAATAATCTTCTTTAAAATTATGAATATGTTTGTTGTCGATATCTATTTGTTGTTTTTCTACATTTGAGATTTTATTGTGAATGTTTTTCCACCGTCCCAGCTAACTTCACAAACACTGACTTTATTAAACTTTAATTATTTGTTCTCTAGTGGTAAATGATTCGTAATACATATACAAAGAGGAGATTGTTTCTTTCAATAGACCACTCTCTATGCTTGCCATGAAGGCAACCTCTGGGAGAGGTCCTAATAGAGACCCCATGGTGACTCAATCTCTTTGATTATAGATGACATCGTAAAATCTAAACTGCACATTAACCGTATATCTCAATAAAAGCTGCTTCAGATAGTTAGTTGGTACTTCAATGTTTAGGTAGATAACGAATAGTTTCACGACAAGGAAACATTTTTTAAATCTACTAACCAGAAATACAGAACGGAGGGTATTGAGAAACTTTGAAGAAGTTTAAGGAAAAATCTATTATTATCCGTATATGTATGAACATCTCAAGCTGTCTGACTCAACCATCCCTCGTTTGTGTGGTCTTCCTAAGACGCATAAAGATGGTGTCCGTCTGCGACCTATATTGTATGTGTTAAACTCCCTTGTCATTCTATAGCCTAATGGCTCGCTGGAATTCTTTGACTAGCAAGATCAAATCTATGTGAGCATAGGTTTTCGGACATTTTTGACTACTTCAGTGGCGTTGATGGAATTAATGTGACATAAGCATATGACCGTACAAGATATTTGCTCTTTACCTAAAAATATACCATTAGTCGAAACCATTTGTTATCTATGTGATTACATCTGCCTAAAATGTATAAACACTGAAGCACCAACTAACTATCCGAAGCAGCTTTTATTGAGATATACGCTTAATGTGCACTTTAGATTTCACGATGTCATTTATAATAATAATAATAATAATTTACTTTATTCCAAAAACAGTACTTAAAATACAGAATGGAATTCTTAGCATTTGTCACAATACTGCATCTGATTTACTTAAAATATAAATAAAATTAAAACAAAAGTAACTAGAGGAATTTGTCCATGTTTACAATATAAAGTCAAAAATATTTGAAGCACGAACTGAGATCATTAAATATAATAATAATAACAATAATAGTGAGTTCGTTACAAACAGTATTGTCGATTCAGTTTGAAAATTTTAGCATGTTACTATAGAGTATTGAACTTAATGTTCTGTTGCTATAGTATAATGAGGGGAAATACAAAATTAACAGCGGTAACACAGCTTAAACGATGTTCACACTTATGAAAAATAAATAAAAACAAAAAATTGAGAGGATTATAAATATGAGAAATACAATAAAATAAAGTTTGGTACGGTAAGGGTGGAAGAAATGGTTTATTTAGTAGTGCAAAGAAGGTTAGTTAGTTCATGCCTGACACCATTTTCATCACAAAAAGTACGTGCCAAATATGTCATAGTGGAATTTTTATACTTAGACGTACGTGCATAAATTGTTCTGAAAAGACTTCTTTTTTTACCTGAGGAGACAGAAGGTTGGAGCTGCGCGTAGAGTGGGTGCTCACAGTCTAACAAAATTCCTCTAGCAAATTTGTTGCATGACATCAGGTGCCTATAATGGTAATGTCAACGATATGGTCCAATGGGATACCATTCGTCCTACTGACAGTCTTCAGAGTTCTACGAAGAATGAAGTAGTCTTTACCAAGCAATCCAGGAAAGAACAAGGGTGAACAGTAAAGAAGAATAGGTAAAATACACGAGTTGACAAACTTTAAGAGGACAGGTTGAGTTATGCTTGAGTGTCTAAACTTCTTAATGTAAAAGTCAGATGAAATATTCTTTTAGAAATCGCTAAGACATGGGAAGACCAGGATGGGTCAGAAGAAAGAATTAATCCAAAACACTTAATCTCAAACTTGATTTCTATATGAATATCATCAATTTTGCGACGGTCATAGGAACCAAAAGTCTCATTTACATCGGAAACTGAAATTGACGGTCTGACATTTGGAAGGATTTAGTTTAAAGCCATTAGACGAAGACCATTTGCGAATTCCTAATAGAGAGCAGTCCATCTTAGCACAGTCAAGCTGGGAGTTAACAGACATTGAAATAGTTAGATCGTCCGCATACATAACAAAGTTCATTTCGTCAGAATGAGGCAAGTCATGCAAGAAGAAACAAAACAGAAAAGAAGAAACGACAGCGCCTTGAGGGATATCAGCCTCAGTAAGCAACGAAGTTGACGACTTTCCCTGACATACAGTGTACTGCAGCCATTTGACAACCCGACAGTCAGTTTGAGTATCAACAAGTTTGTTTGACAAAATATCCCTAGGTACTGAGTCGAAAGCAGACGTTTAATCTAGGAAGGTGCAGCGAACAAATTTAGCCCCCTTGTCTAAGTTGGAGACAATGTTATGGTACATGGTTGCAACTGCATCTAAAGTACTTCTGCTGTGCAATTGATAGTGTTCTCTGAGCTCTTTGGTTTAATTGCAAATCATTCACCTGAGTTACAAATCTTTTCTAGTAATTCTGCTGTGTTTATAAGCGAATTGTTTAGGATCGTTAAAGGCTTTAAGTGAAGGTTGAAGATTAAGTAAGAGTAACTTTTCCATAGCTTTTAGAAAACGAGGGGTAATAGCAATAGGTCTAAATTTAAAATATGTTCCAGTAGACGACTTAGGGATAGGTACAATTTTGATGTCTTTCCAAACAGCTTGCACGACATTTCTGGGAAAAGATTCGTTATAATCAAAGAGATGAAGTCACTATGGGGTCGCTATTAGGACTTCTCCAAGGGGGTGCTTTCATGGCAAGCATAGAGAGTGGTCTATTGAACGAAACAATCTATAGTTTGTATATATATAGGCGATATATTGATGACATCTTCATTATTTGTAACGACAAATGATTCCTAAGTTTATAAGAGTTGTTTCCTTAGGAAAAGTCGATTTACCACACCTAATGAATGGCTAGTAGTAAACACTGACGGTAATAAACAGCTTTGTAATTTTCAAAGAACAGTCATCATTTCCCTTTCTCACAGCTGATATTTAGTGTTAACAACATTTGATATTAGTTAATTAAACGTATTTTCACTAAAGAATATGTAGACCAACTACTCTGTATATTAGGAATAATTTAATACAGTTAAGAAACAACAGACTGCTGTTAAAATAATCCCCAGTTTTGACGCAAAAAAACTGACATGCACTATCACCTACTGCTAACTTTGAGGTTTGCTGGAGAAGAGTCATTATATGGCAGTTTAGCAGCCGAAAAATGTCTCCTCAGTAGAACATAATAACAGGTGATGAACACCTTTCAAAATAAACTGATTAATCATTCTGAATCAAATAGTTCATAGTAGCAGAGAATTTAGTAGAGGTACTTTTCGCATTTATTATAAATCTTAATTTCTAAATGCACTGACTGCTTCAACTACATATTACCTTTCTAGACTGGAATCCTGAAAAATACTCACTTAGTGGAAAACCTGCCTCTTTCTGGCCGGATTTGTAGATATCAGATAAATCATATATATATATATATATATATATATCCACTGGCGTCAGATTTTGAACATCAGTGAGTAGAGTATATGGAGATATATCTTGACATTATCAATAAACATATGTTTCAAAATTCTCAAATAATAATGACGCAAGAATCTGGAGTATACAAAAACATAATTGATTGACAAGTAGTAAAGACAAAATGATATTAGAAACTGCACCTTATTTTAAGACCCACTTACTCGACTATTGACAGGGCAATGAGACATAAACTTAAAAATGACACTTTTTCTTAAAACAAAGTGTACTTCAGGAGATCTTCTCAGAGTCATAAAATATTCAAATATCTCTAAGAAATTCACTGTGAAAGGTTATAAAAAAAGCTGATTAATCTTTAACTTATCTGCATTCTGATGTTTTTGTTGGTTTAGTAAATTTTCTGGTGAAGGTAATCTGAAGGTTATTAAAGATGATCTGGAAAGCTAGCCTTCCTTTGCTTAATGTGGTCAATTCCCTTTAATGTAGTTTAGATTATCACCTGTACAATTTTTTAAACGACAAAGTGACTAAATTAGCAAATGTAATATGACTAAGCGATAAGAACACGCTTCTATTCTTGTAATTACTTCTATACCAAGTGCCAAATTAAATTTATTGAATTATACATATCTTAACATTAATACATTGTAAAACTTATCTGCTATTTGTCCAGGTAGTATATTTACTATGTATAGAGCTAAAACTTAGGATCCATTTCAATCCTTCTGGTAATATTCAAGCATTGGTCATTTTTGTAGGGAATTTCGTTTGATTGATTGGAGAATTTCATAATGCTCTAACATCAGTTAGACAGCCATTGGAAAACCTAGGAGTACTGGGTAGCTGTTTGATGAAGAGTCTCGAATTAGGGCGAAACAGCTATCCAATACTCCAAGGTTTTCCAATGGTTCTCTAACTAATGACATCTTATTATGAGATCCTCCAACCAATCGAACGAAATTCCCTAAAAAATAAACCGATACTTGAAAATTGATCTGATGCTCACTAGCGACTGACCCTATGGCACTTACCTAGGGTTCTAGTGGGAAGCCGTGACCAGTAGGGTACACCAGGTTGAAGGTGACGCAGTAACTCATCGAAGAAGACATTGTGAAGTGGTCGCGCTATGTCATGAATTGGCAGAAATTATAATTCATTGGCTAGCCATTGGATCATGTCCCAGTGGCTTAATGGTTTACGAGCTCACCTTGTAATCAGAAGGTCCCGGGTTCGAACTCTGGTGGTGGTTGCGTACTGATGAAAAGTCCCGAACTAGAGCGAAACAGCTGTCTAGTACTCCTAGGTTTCCCAATGGTTGTTCAACTGATGTCCGCTTATGATGAAATCCTCGAACCTTCTGATGATACTAGAAACATCAGATAGTCTACACTTCTAAATATGATAATTTGGTGTATAACCGTCAAATAACAAACGAATAATTACTTAGACGTCTACATTCAATTGTATGAAGAAGTTAGCAAATTTATATACATTCTCAGGATCACTTTTCATATAAGTTAGAAGGAGCATGATATATTTAGAATTCCCAC